TGTGGCCCCGTGGAGAGGAGCCCACAGTGGAGCAGGTTTGCTGGCAAGACTTGTGACCCTGTGGGGGACCCACCGTGGAGTGGTCTGGTCCTGAAGATGCACGTAATTTATCTATTTTGCCGGCGATTACCTCTTGTGGCTTTGGTACTCTTTCACAAGGCATAAGAAGAACCTTGCGTGGAGGATTCAGTGAGATACTGACTAAAAAGGTAGAGAAGCAGTGAAAGACCAACCCAGGAGACAACTGACAGGTAAGAGGTAGATGTGAGAAAATAAAACTGAGTTGACAGGACATCCCTGCTGAGCAACTTCGCCAACGTGTCTGTGATTCAGGGTGCAGTTTCAGAGTTATTGTGGGTCCATCTGAGGTCACCGTCCCTTCTGGCCTTGGGTCTCTACTTTCAGAAGAAATGTCCTCCTTCACACTCATTTCCATCGCATCAGCACCTGCAGCTGCAAGAAAGTCGGGTCGACACGCTGACTCCACAACACAAGGCAAAACCAGCAAGTTTCCATCAGAACCGATAAGCTGATCTGTGCCACCACAAGGCTGTACGGCAGCGAAGTGGACAGGGGAAAAATGGTGAGAACTCAATGCCAGGACAAGGGAGAGGCCAGGACTATCCAGAGAAAGGCTGCAGCTATATTGCCCTGAGCTGATCATGAAAGGACATGGTCAGTTCTTTATGAAGTGGAGACAGCACCACTTCTCCAGTGGGGAAAAAAAAAAAAAAAAAAAAAAAAAAAAAAAAAAAAAGATTGTACAGCTCACAAGAAATACCTGGTCAAATATGTCAGGCACTAAAAATAGGCAAAATTTACTTTGATTTGGCTTCTGCTAAACAAACTAAGATGTCATACTTCTTTTAGAGGCTTTTTCTCAGAATAGGAGATTGTGAAGTACACACAATTCTTAGTTTAAAACATTACTATTGAATCCTAAATGGTCATCGGGTTTTGCTAAGCATTTTCCCCCACAATTAATTTGCTTATTAATACAAGAACAACCAGTACCATTAACATCATATAAATGTTCACTTTCTAGTGGCTACATTTCACATGAGTTCTTTGATCTAGAACTTAAGCAACACACTGATACACCTATACAGATATTTAGATACTCTTGGGTATGATGAAAGAAAATAAAATATTTATTACTGAAAGTAATAACTCTTGCAAGAATCTCCTCCCAAATATCTAACAAAATGAAGTTGTAATCAGTGACTGAAGTGGCCTTTGCTGAAAAACACCTCTGAGTTCTCTACAAAAGACTACTTTTAATTTGACTGAATGCTTGTGAAAATGCAGTTTAAAAACATGACTGGACATTCCATACAATTATTAGCCCTTTTTTTGCAATAAAAAAGATTAAGAAAAGTTTGTATTGCACATATGGACACAGCTAATTTAGCTGAAAAACATCCTTCTAGAACAGCAAGATCCTCTGGTGTTCCTTCATTCTCAGTTTCCATTTTGTACTTTCCATCGAGCACAGTCCATGGAAAGGACTCAAACCTGTGTCCTTCCAAGCACACACAGAAGACATCCCTCTTCCAGGATGGGGATCATATAATAGGAACTGCTGTTTTCGCTGACATCTTGCCCAAAAGTTCATATAGAAGCATTTCCTCAATCATACTTATAAAGTATCAATCTTCTAAAAACCAGAGAATCTTAAAAGTTGATTACAGTGTTACACCCATGTATCGAGGATATACTGCAAAGTCAGGAAATTATTTCACTACACTGACTTTCATTGATATGTATTATTTGTTATTGCAAGCAACAATGTTTTCTAATACTTGGGAAGCAGAGAAAACTAATCTTCACACACTTCCATGGTGTCATGAGTGAAGCACTTCTATTGGCTTTTAGTTAACTTCACTCTTTCCACACTGAACTTCAGCCACAGGACATACAAAGTAGTAAGTCACAGAATGCACTCAAGTTACTTATATACACATAGTAGGAAGCTAACTCCTCCAAGTCCCTGAATTTTTACAAATTAACATTGAAAAATTAGATTCAGTGTTAATTATACACAGGATGCTTACGTTTGTGATCTTTAGAGACAACTGATCAACATCCATGTGGTACTCCCGGCTGGGTAATACTATTAGTTAAAAAGCAAATTTTTATTTTTTTACTTATTTTTTGACGAAGAAATCCCTCTGAAACTGGGTGGGGCAGGGAGTTTTGGTTGGTTGGTTTTTGAAATACATGTTAAACTAAGTCATGTAAACCTACAGGAAAGAAAATACAAAGTATTATACATATACTGTGAAAGGTTCAGATATATTCCATATTTTAAAAGTACACAATTGTGCTTTTGAAGTCTATTATAAAGCACATGCATAAAGGTTTAAATTCAGGTAGAACCCTACACCTTCATCTATTTGCTTTTCAGTTTCATATTCACTTTCCCAAATTCTGCATTCTTCAAGTTTTAAATTGATTGATCTAGCTCTGATGCTTCTCGAGCAACCTTTTTATTCCCCATGGAAAGTAAACAACAAAAATGTTCTTACATGCTTATACTTCAGAAAATCAATTATTTGACCAAAACCCACTTAAATTAAAGCTTCTTCAGAACAGGTCATAACAGCAGTATGGTAGGAAACGGTTCAACTTCTTCCACTCTCTTCTCCTTTTAAAAAATAGATAAGTATGAGCATCGTAATGGTTATGGTGACCTCAGTGCACTCATGTTAGTAAGATATAAATGACCTGTTCTACATCACTGAACAGTCATGATAAAAAAAAACCTCCAAAGTACAAAGCTATGAAACCATTGGCAAGCCTTCAATACTTATATTTTCTACAAGATATTCTGCTTCTAAAATTTCATGAGATTAAGCAAGCAATATATTAATATACAAAGAGAAGGAAAGGTATTTTAAGTATATACAAATTACTGTATCCAATCCCAAGACTGTTCTTAAGCATGATGAAAAAATCTAAGGATATTTACAAAAATCCATAAAAATTCCAAGTTTAATTGCACTCATCTCTGTTACTCAAATGAGATTCTTTTCCTGCCCCACTCCAACTGGAGCTCTACACTTTCTCTACACCCTAATACACTGGTTCCAAACGGGCTTCTCATCTTTTTTCTACCAAGGTAATTACTTCATAGCAGTAAGCATCACTTATGAACCACTGCATACCCTGTATAGACTGTAATACTGTATTTGGAAATTTGCCTACCACATTTCTCAGCATGGGCTATAAATAGCCTTTTTGGAAGAGAAAAACAAGCAAACAAACAAACAAAACAAAACAAAAGTAGAGTTGTCTTCTTTACATCCAAGTTCTGTAATTACATTTTTCTCAGGCAGGAGCAGCCCACGGGGTTCAGAGAGGGAAGGAAGTGCCGTTATATGAAATACCTGTACTGGAAGCAAACTATGCGTTTGCCACAGTTACCATCTCCTGACCGGATCATGTTGTCTCCCAAGCAAACCACCTCCAAAACAAACCTGAAGTTAGAACTACACAGTAGTGACCCCAAAGGGTCCCTGTGCTAAAGAACAGGAGTAAGACAGTAGCACGCAGCACCGACGGGTTTGATAAAATGCCCTAGTGACTTACTACATAGTACAATTTCTGGAAACTGCAGACCTCTGTATTTGCTTTGTACTCTAACATATGAAAGGAAATTAGTAACAATTTCAATTTAAGTTATATCAGAGTATCCAAGGACTACATTATAGCATTAGACATATTTCAAGCAAATTCTTTCACTGCTAAATCTTGAAAGTGCTTCAGTTGCATTTTTTTTCTTATGGAAAAAAAAGATCAATCACTGTTTGTACTCAAGAGTATTCATCTTTTTCCTCAGCATCTGTAATAGGTCATCTGAAAGGGAAATAAAAAATCCCCAGTCTGATCAGCTTATTGGTGTCCTACAGTTCCTTAGAGAAATTAGTTAAATTAGTTCAGATTCCAGCAGATCCTCCTACACATCTTACAGATCTCAAATTAGCATTGTGTACAGGAATGGCAAAAAAAATATTTAGTCTGTACAAAAAAAATACACACCAGAAATGTCCTTCAGCTTCCACGAGGCTTTGACAAAATTCTGTACCGAGAGAAACTGGAAAGTGCCCATCATATCTGGATTTAAAGAGATTGAATACCCTGACATCAAGGGGACTTGCGAAGTTCATCTCCAAGAATTATAAAGTACACTGTGATAGCTCTAAATCAAGATTAAAGAATCAGGTAGTCAGCAAAAAAAAAAAAAAAAATATGCAGAGAAACAGCACGAAATCAGAGAATCACGTAGGTTCTAGTCTGGACCCCATGAAAGGAAATGAAGGGCACTTGACTTAAGAGCATAGAGTGGCTTTAGCCCTGTGTGAGAAGACCCTGCAAGAAAGCTTGCTCTTAATAGGCAGCCCTGAGAAGTCATCTACGTGCAAACTTTAAATGCTTTTCCCTTCCTTCCAGAAATCCTCTTGAAACACAGAAGATATCAGACGCAGGCTTCAATTAAATCAATCTGAATCTCTTAGGTAGGAGCTTATACCTGGAGATTTTTTATTATCATTTATTTTACACTATCACCTTCTTATTCTAAGCCAGTATTTACAACAGCTGAAGTCTAGAAATAATTTAGCTTGAGGAGAATGAAACTTTCCTTGTGCCACCTCCACTTAAAATCTATTCTCCTGGTAAATTATAAAGTACTTCTGGTTTTTGAACAGTTAATATGCAAACAGCACAAAGTAAGCATGATAAATAACAGTGCAAAAACTTCAGTATTCCATGTTTTCCCTCATTTACTTCTGATGTGCTTTTCTGAGGCAGATGGGGAAATTTAGACTAACCTTGCTTTCACAGGCTGATGACTGGAAACTTGGAAGTATTCAGAGCAGAACTCCGACATAATTTGGCACGTCCTGTTGCCAAAGATACATATAAAAGACAATATGTTCAACGTCAAAGGTTTTATTCTTGATTTGGGAAAAAAAAAAAAAGAAAAAAAATGGCCAGTGCCAGGTTGGGTTTCCTTTTATTGTTAAAAGATTAAAGCATAACATTTCACCAGATACAAGAAATTTAGGGGGTATCTGACATTACAAACATCTGAATCATCAAGAGAAAGTGTTGAGCTATACATAGGCTGACGTTAATCCATCAATTTAAGGTATATTAGTACATGCTTAAAACATGGCCAAAATACAGTCACAAAATAAGTACCTTGATGCTTCTAAATCTGAGACAAGTAAGTCAGAGAATTGAGTGCAATGAATTTCCAATGAATGACTATACACTCAATTCCAACCTCAGGGCAGAATTATTCCAGAAGGATTGGTAGTTTCTCATGCCTGGCTCATTCACATTCAATTTGGTGAGAATTTTAATTTTGAGAATTTGATAAAAACATTTTGAAAAATACAACATTTAACAAATGTGAAAAAACAAGTTAATTCCTGTGAAGACTATATGGATTGCTTGCCACTCCAGTCCTTAATTGCCTGTATGTTTTACAAATCTTTAAAAAACTATTTTGTATCCAATTTGGTTTCAAAAACATAGTACATCAGAAAAATAAAATATGACTCTACTGATGGGTAATACAAAGACGTGAACACGTATTTAAAATTACTTTCAAAAGTAAATCATCTCAGTAATACAGCTATAAGACAAGTTAAACATAGTACAATAAACCATGCATCTTCTGACTTGTCAGATCACCTAAACTACTCGGTTAACATACAGCAACACTTCTGAACACTTCTGTAAATTCAGCTTTTCTAGCACAAGGGAAAAAAACAGATTAAATTTGTTCTTCAAGTGGTTCAAGGCTGTCCAAGTGTTTTTTAGGTGTATCATCGCTATGACGGCTTTGGCAATGGGTTAAATGTTTCTTAAAGCCTCGGGGAAAATTTGATTCAAAATTGCAACGTGGACACTTCAACAAACTTTGACCATGAGCAGCAACATGGTTTTTAAGAAGAGACTCCAAGAGAAAAGCTTTGCCACATATTTTACATTTGTATGGGCTTTGAACATTATGCTTGTTAACTAAATGGTGCAAGACGGCACCTTTTTTCATTGCACGACAGCAACAAATTTTGCAATAATACTTTCCCTTGCCACGCTTCATGTATTTTGCTATTTCTTCCTCGGAGATGAAAGCCTCTTTCTCTTCAGTAAACTGCAGCACACACTGTGGCTGCATGGGAGTAGTTGCATCTATTTTGCTCTCTTTGCCATAATCAGATGACTCCATATCGTATTGCTCTTGGTCACTGTTGGATTCTTGCTCCTTTATCTCCATCGAGTCCATCTCTGTCTTTCCACACTCGCTGCTATTTAGTTCAGAATCTGAATTCTCCTGGATTTCCTTCTTGGGCTTCTTTTTGGGGCATGAATATAACATGTCATCTGGTGATTCTTTGGCTAATAACGATTGCTCATCCTGTGAGAATAAATCATCCAGTGGTTTCTGATCATCCAAACTGTGAGAAAGAAAGTCACTCTCCCCAGACTCACTAGGTGTCTGGGGCTCGGAGGAAATACCTGGAGCAGACTTGTGAGACTCGGAAAACAGGATATTCTTCTGGATTTCAGAAGGTACAGTAGTTTCAGCATGTCTCTGGACATCACAGGATAAAGCAGCAGCAGGCTTCTGCATCTCAGAAAATACAGCATGCTTTTGAACATCAGGGGAAATGGCAGATTTCTGAGAGTCAGTAAAAACACCTTGTTTGGGGGTCTCGGGAGAAACAGAAGGAGTAGGTTTCTGGGACTCGGTAAAGAGGCCATGTTTCTGAATTTCAGGAGAAGCAGATTTCTGAGACTCTGGAAAGGAAGTATGCTCCTGAACTTCAGGAGAAATGGGAGCAAGTTTCTGGGCTTCAGAAAATAGGGTATGCTTCTGGACTTCAGGAGAAACAAGAGCTGATTTCTGGGCTTCAGAACATAGGGCATGTTTTTGGCCTTCAGTAGAAACAGCAGAAGTAGACACCTGGTTCTGGGGCTCAGAAAAGACAGCACGTTTCTGCACATCAGAAGAAACAGTGGGATTAGATTTACGAGACTCTGGGAACAGAGCTCTTTTTCGAGGTTCCGGGAAATGAGCCCGTTTCTGAACCTCAGAGGAAGCAGCGGAGGTGGATTTCTGAGTTTCAGAAAAAAACATAGACTTCCGGGACTCAGAGAGTTTCCAAGATTCAGGAGATACCGAAGCACCAGGCTTACGGACCTCAGGAAAGTAAGAAGGCTTCCAAGAGTCAGAGGAAACTGTGTGACTAGACTTTCGAAGCTCAGGAGAAACAGGGGGAGAATGCTTCCATGTGTCAGGGGACAGAACAGGTTTCCAGCCTTCAGGGTAAACAGATGAGATGGGTTTCCACGGCTCAGAAGAAACAAGAGTAGACTTCTGGGATTCCGAAAAGGATGTAGATTTCCACGAGTCAGTAACAAGCCTCCTCGGCTCTGGAGACACAACAGGGCCAGGCCTTCGGGCCTCGGGGGCAGACCTCCGGGATTCTACAGACACCGACACGGCAGGCTTGGGAGCCCAGGAAGAAACCGTGGAAGACTTCTGCACCTCATGAGGTGTAGATCTCCAGGGCTCGGGGGAGACAGTCGGACCGGGCCTCCATGAGTCTGGTGAAACTGCAGGAGCAGGCCTCCGGCTTTCAGGAGAAGAAGCAGAAGCAGGCCTACGCATTTGAGAGGGATGCCGCCGGGGCTCGGGAGACCCAGCTGGGGCATACCTTCGCGGTTCAGGGGATACTGCTGGAGTAGGTTTCTTTGGCTCTGGTGACACAGCTGGGGAGTATCTGCGGGGCTCTGGAGACACGGCGGGAGAATGGCGACGGGGCTCTGGCGATACAGCCGGGGAATGGCGACGGGGCTCTGGGGACATGGCTGGGGAATGCCGACGGGGCTCGGGAGACACAGCCGGGGAGTGCCGACGGGGCTCGGGAGACGCAGCCGGGGCTGGCTTCTGTGGGTCGGGGGACACAGCAGGAGACGGCTTCTGTGAGTCAGGGGACACAGCAGGAGACGGCTTCTGTGGGTCGGGGGACACAGCAGGAGACGGCTTCTCCAAGTCTGGGGATACAGCCGAGGCTAGCTTCTCTGGATCTGGAGACGTGGCCTGGGATGACTTTTCTGGGTCGGGGGACGTGGTCTGGGCTGACTTCTCTGGCTCTGAGGAAGTCACCTGAGCCGACTTCTGGGGCTCTGGGGACACCGATGATTTGTGAAGCTTGGGGGAAACAACAGGTTCAGATTTGGGGAGTTCAGGAGAAAGGGCAGGTTTGCGTGACTCGGGGGAAAGGGTAGGTTTCTGTGGCTCTGCTGTGACGCCTTTTTTGGAGGAATCTGTATCTGCTTCTACCTGTTCTTTCCGCTCCTCATTCCACTTCTCAGGTGCTGCATGTTGTGCTGTGATGTGATAATATACATTGCAGTACATCTTGCTGGTAAAGAAACATTTGTGGCAGTGAAACAGTTTTGCACTTTTTTGATAAAATATAAGTTTACCCAAACCAGCAGCATCCATTTCATCACAATACTCTGGGTGTATGGTGCCCATATGAATTTGTATGTTTTCATAGTCTGTTCCTCTGAAGCTGCAGTGATCACACTCTAAACGCTCTGTGGTTTTACGCAGTATCTGCAACATGTCCATTCTTCTATGGTCAGTAACAGCTTTCACAGCACTGCACCTTTTAAAGAAGAAGCATCAGTTCCTGCAATAAAGGAAAAAAAAAAAAAAAAATCTGTCTAGTTAGCTGTCAATATTAATTTCAACTATATTTCATTCCTAAATAACCACATGTGCCTTCTCCCCGCTCCGTTTTAGGAAGCATAACTTTTGCACAGGTACTAACTACTTCATAAAGAAATCTAAATACAGGTGTCTCCAACTTCTGCAAGTCATTTTACATCAATATAATCTGAAAAACAAAGCTTGCATTTAACAGGCCTTCCCATGTATGTAAAAAATCTGCAAGCAAACAATAAAAAAAAATGAGATGATGAAGAGCTAAGTATGTTTCATTTGATAAATATGATTTGCTTTCTTGTCTTTTCTTTCCAGATTTGAAGTGCTTTTATTCACAATACACATGTAAACTGAAAACAAAAAGTACTTTGAAACAGTGCCACTGAGATAAAGCCATTTCAAAACTGCACCTTCATCCTCAAATTTCAAAACAAATTAGCTGGTTTTGACAAAGGCAAAAAAAATTTCAAGAAGAAAACGTCAGCCTAAAGCCTGGGCCCTGTTTTCATCTGTTAAACAGTTTTCCTTTCACTAATCACATGAAAAACAAAAGCTGCTGCTCATGAAGCCTTTATCCATTATGAAAAGAACATTTTCCATTCCATTATTTCATCTGCTGCCCTAATAACAATAAAAACACTATTTTAAAAAAGCAGCAGTGACTTTTTTTTCCAGTTGGTGCAGTTGACAGCCCTCTGTATTCAAAACATTGTTTGCCTCACCCCAAAGATGGAAATTTCTCAAAATTACTGTTTTTGCAAGACCTTAAAAAAACACAAACCAAAACAAACAAAAAAAACCCCAGAAATGCAGCATCTGAAATGCAAATAATTTTTAATGATTTGGCTAGATTCCAGTATTTCCAAAAGGATTTACCCCGACGAGCTACTACAATAAGCTGCAGACCAAATCTAACCATATTCTGTAAGTCATTTTCATATAAATGTGGGAGGTATCTCTACGGTGAAAAGGAATATTTGGACATTTATGTGAAATGCACAGTCTTTTATCTTGTAGGTTAAAATTAAACAGATGTTACACAATTATCACGCTAAGCTATCAATCTAATTTCAGAGGTCTTGTAAGACACACTGTTTCAAAACACACAAAGTTTTTGTGTCATTTTAACATTAATTCTCCTGTCTAAATATATATTAGACTAACTAATCTAAAAATATGCATCCAAACCAAGTTTTCCTAATTTATTCCTAAAGCATTTTTTACCCCGATTTCTTATGGAAATGAGGCTTAAACAAACACATTGACCTAGAGTTGATGCCAATCAAATTGGACAAAGCAATCCACTCTCATCTTAAATTTCTGCAAGTTTCATGAAAATCAGGTACCAAGTGGAGAATGAAAGAAATGCCTCCATTGAAGCTAAAGCTGAATGTTTCACTTAACAGTTACTGGCTTTGTTTAGCCTGTAATCAGTACATGAATGGTCAGTATGCAAATAGTCTTAAAACCGGCAGAACAAGCAGCGTCTAATTCAGCTTGTCATTAGGGAAAAAGAGAAGGAATTCAAAATACTACCGCAGTGAGCTGGTTTGGGTCAGAGACAGAATGAAAGTAAAACAGCAGTGCTGCTAAAGGATGACATGGATGCAGGAAAAAAAAAAAAAAAAAAAGAAAAAAAGAAAACAGGAAAGGGGGATGGGGTGAGGAACAGAAGGCACAAATCCCTAAGAAATAAAGGCTCACCACCTCAGCTGCTCATGGAACAACTTCTTTGCATGCACTATGCATATGTACTTCACATTAAGTCACAGGAATAGGTAGATTTCCAATCGGGAAGCATGGCAGGACCACAGACAGAGCTGTAAAAGGGATCCTGCTTTACAGCTATGAGACAAATGAGCAAGCATCCAACTGCAGGCTAGTTACACACGAGAAGCAATTGCAATGCTCTACAAATACTGAAGTGGAAGGACTTTGGAGTAATAAGCTGTCGTTAGCAGCCATACAAAAGACACCCCAAAACATATTCCACAACGCATTCAGTGTTGACCACTTCCCAACATCTTATCAAAACCTTTATATTCCTGTAAAAGATCGAAACAAAACAGAAAGATAACAGTAGTGCTCAGTGGTCTGTATCTCTGCAATAGCAAGCAATTTGTCAACTAAAAAAACCCAAAGCAATCCATGTATTAACACTCCAAAAGACCTAACAGTCTTTATGAATTAGGGCTTATTTTTCGGTTGGGGGATTTGGGACAATGGGAAGAAAGGAATATTTCAATTTGAAAGCAAAACAATCTGAAATTATCATAAAAGTTAATTTTTTTTAACTAAATCACAGCAGAACACGATTAGGACAATAAGAATACACTGCATTAATCACATTTTCAGAACTGAAAGGGAATTCGTCACTTCCAAAATTGGTGGTAATCCTGAATTGTCCGTTTTCTTTTCTCTAGAAAACTAAAAAAGGCTTTCCCAAACCGAATTTATCATAGCTTACAACAAAGTTTACCACACAATTTCTTCTACCCTCTTTGTAATTTCCTTCTTTACATGTCACCTAACTGTTGCCCTTTCTGCAGGTTTCTGTTATTCACTCGTCTCAACGACCCTTCAATTCACCTGCCCTCCTCTCCTTTTATTCAGTCCTATCTTACTTTACAATGGAAATTTCCTTTTTTTTTTTTTTCCCCAAATGCAACAGTGAGAAAAGGTCCCTGGCTCCCTTCCACAAATTGTCCAAGTTGCTGCTAAGATTTTCTGACCAGGAGGTTATTCTGGAACTGGGAAAGTTACAGCCACTTCCTCATTTTCATCTCCAGACATTCAAAGGCTGATATTCAAGCCTTTGGCATAAGAAGTAACATTAAAGAGTTGGGGGTACTTTCTTTCACACTGCCATCACTCACCATTTTTCATTTTGTTAACTTCAGTACACTGTAGCTGGCAGTCAGTCCTCTTCTGCTGAAATCTTTACTTAATCAAGGCATCCTACTGAGCAAGACAACTCTTTGGTATTGCATCACCTTAGGCCATGACTCCATGGAACAGTAAATCTAATTTTACAATAGTTACTGCGAGACCAGTAACAAATTTGAACAGTGCTGAGCCACTATTAACTCATGCTGTCAACTTGTATTTGTTTAAAAACTTTGGAAGGAGTAAACTCTGAAATGTTGCTGGTTCACTCAGCACATACCTGAATAGCTAGGTGTAAGATTTGCCTCTCAACCCCTCCTGATCTCTTCTCGGTGTGAGCTCAAATGCCACTGTCTCTACAAAGCTCTGATTACTGCCCTCCTCTATACTCAGGTTTGTCGCACAGATAATTGCCTGCTTTGTATTTCTCTTTGCTGTCAACTCCTGCATCAGAATTTGTTTTGAGCTGGATCCTGCCTTGGGATGGGGGAAAGTTTGAGGAACAGCATGTCACTGTTTTCTAAACAGTCCCACACCAGCAGAGCCAGCCAGTCTAGAAACCATATGGTCAATAACCAGGTCCCCACGGCTTTGGACCTGCATGAACTGTGATCTAACCTTTGCTCAGCGGCATCTTTTTGGCAACGTTAAAAGGATGGCCCATACTCCCCCTCTGCGTAAATGCTTTATTACAGATATCAAGGGAACCTAGCTCTGTACTGCTCCAACTCAAATCCATAAAAAAGGTAAGGAAAAGAACTGGTGTGATCAATCTGGCAGGGTGCCCGGTGTGTACTGTAGGGAGCTTGACCAAATACTACATCCAAACATCATTCTAGTCACCTGAAGCCCGTTGAGAAAAAGTACGAATTTCAGGATTAAGTTCAACTTGTTACGAGAGACAGGTCCCCCATGAAACACTTCAGAAGGGAGACGGCCACCAGAGTATCTCTCAAGCCTGCCTGAAGGCTCCTAGGAGAGACAAACAAGCTGCCACGTGTCCAAGAACAGGTAACTGTTGTGCAGGTCACGGGCCACTTTGTTTTGCTGAAGACCCTGCCAGGCCCTACCCGTTTTGTAAAAAGGACACTTCAGCATTGCCCCTACTCAAACTCACAGCTACAGGATGTTCTATCCCACAGCTGAGGCTGTGCTGCATGTCACTTTAAGACCACAAAGCGCACCACATTCCTTAATTGCTATTTCTGTGTCCCCTCCTACTTTTCTCACTTTTCACGGCTGCAATTCTGAGAAAACAAATACAGATTCAGCCAAACAGAACTAATTATCTCTTCTGAGAACACATTACAATTGAAGCAGAAGCCTGAAGCCCAGCATTTATGCTTGGCTTGTCCTGTGTCCGCATCACCTCTCCACTTCAACACCAAGTACTAAGATTCAGCTAAGATTCTGGAGTTTGCAATACTAAACTTTAGCTTAAGGCAGCCAAGGTTTGTCCAAAGTCTTCCTGAGACATGAAGATTTCCACTGAAATCTAAGTGCTTCTGTCTACAAGCTCACGATATGCACAGATACCAAGCACAGCAACAACATCAGCACCAACTCAGCTCTTAGTTTGACTAAAGGCTCTTGCTGACCTGAAGTGACACAGGTCAATGTCCATCACTCAGGTTAAAAGTGACTTAAAGAGACCCAGAGATCTCAGCAGTGGGACCACCAGTCTCTACTGCTGCTCCATCAGCCACCTCTTCCCAGCCCCCTTCTTTCACGCGTGTCTAGAACCTACATACAAAGGTTCCTACCACCCGGTTCCGGTCCCGTACACGGCAGTTCTGGCCACAATCTCCTCCACCACAGGAAGAACAGAAAAACAGCAGGGGAAAAGGACTGGTATTTACCTGAGGAACCATATCTACCTGACAAAAGAACAAACACGATGACTTTTCTTGCTTGGTTCTCAGCACCCAAGAGGCCAAAGTCATGATTTGGCAGAAAGAAAAAGTACCCAAGAAGTCAGAGGCAATGAGATAACTGCAAATCCTGAAGTTGGCTATGTATATTGCAGGTCAACCACAGAGTGCAGTCAAACAGCATCAGCAATCTCTGTTGAGCTCATGTTAGACTGAGCAATAGCAGTAGCCTAAGCTAATTCACAGAGCAGACAGACCTGGTAGCTTCCCAGCCAGAATGCAGTCAATTCAGAGCCAGTTCCTGGATTCGGCATTCCACCATCCATTAGGATCCCACTAAAGATTAAGATCTATTTCCTACAGCCTCTCAAAAACCTCCCAGTGGTAGAAAAGAAATGTGCAGGAGGTACTGTGTATAAAAAGAATCCACCCAGGGGATGGCACAACACTGACTTGGGCAGCTAAGAAGATGTCTCCACTTCTCAACACCTTTCCAATTTCATAGCTACAAATCTACTAATAATCTCAGAATATTTTTAATAAACACATTCTACGCTTAGTGTTGCAACATTTAATATATTCCTGCATTTTTCCTCTGCAGAGGATAAACTGTGACTGTCATGAGGCAGTACCAGAGGGAAGCAATGAAGGGCTGAAAGCTAAAGATCTAGATTGCCTCTAAGCACAGAAAATTACAGGTTGCTTTTAATACGACATGTAGAATTTCAGAACACAGCAACAAGTAGTCTGTCATATCATTCTTCAAAATCAGACTGCCTTGTTTCTCACTGGCAGCAGGATCTGTATCGCTTTTCCCCTTGATAATGAATCAAGTCTGGTGAGACACAAGCAGGTAATAAGGACATGCAACACACATCGATGATGCCAGCACAGTTGGGAAAGCCCTCAAGAAGAGAGCCCTCTATTTTCTGTGATTCCCTACAACCACATTGGATTCCCTATTTCAGTCACTGCACAGGAAGGATGGCTGTTCATTCTTATCAGCCGTGGAAATTTCTTGCAGGCAAACAGTTCGGCCATACCCACAATCAGTGAAGATGGTCAATGGCAAAGTTTGTTCCCAGCACAAGCAAGCTGGATACAGCTGCATCATTGCCTCTACCGGCAGAAGCAGATCCAGACTATTGCTGTGTTTAAGCAAAAGGAAAAATGACATGTTCTTGCCTTGCCAAAAAGTAAATGGCAGTCTGGTGGCAACATGATGCTTCTCTTGAAGCTACATCCCTGTGTTGTGACTGACAAAAAACAGAAGTTTAGCTCCCAGAGGAAGCTGTGCACAAACATCCCCGCGGTGCCGCAGAGCAGGCACTTCAGAACGCCAACGGCAGGTAAGGGGGTCACTGCCAAGGCACCGTGAACAAGACAGGCGGTGCTGTGCTCCTGCTAATCCAGCAGCACCCACGGGAATCTGACCACATCCTCACAAATGAGCTACCAGCCCATCTACACGGGCTCGGTTCCATCGGCAACGATTGCTGAACCTTGCCTTTCGAACTACACACCTAAAAAAGGCACAAACGCCCGGACATGACCAGCCACTGAAATGGTGAAACACACTGTGAGACCATGTGAGCCACCAGATCCTGGCAGAAAATGGCTGTATTATGTGGTCCCATGTTTCCAGGAAAGGTTCAAGTCAGAGGAGAGTTGAAAAATAATAGTACTTGATGTACATGCATATGACTTAAGAAACATGAAAGGGACAGAACTGCAGCTATTTTGCAAGATAAGAGAATGACAAGTCTACACAGCAATATCAGCTCTTAATACAAAAATCTAACAACAGTCTAAACCGCAGAGTAATACCAATGTTACCTATGACAGATTTGGGGTAGGAAAAATTAATGCCATGTACTTCTGATAGGGCTTTTTAACTCCAAATTCACAATTCCACAGAGATAGCTTAAAAAGGCAGCCCCAGAAACCTTATTTCTGCAGGACTGAACCTGAGCTAATGAAGTGCCACTGGACCCACCAGAGGACACCATCTAGTCAGGAATTGTGAATTAAAGCCGCGAATCTTGGTGACACGGGGCTATGAACTCCATTTACATTATCCTGAAAGCAAATAAGGTTCAAGGGGAGTTTACAGGAAGGCAAAATGAAATGCAAAGCCTCTACATTCCTCACTTCTAAACAGCTCGGTACACACCAAGCTTCCAGTCACGCCTCTTTGAACAGTGCTGAACTGTTATCAGCTAACACAGCTCCCCTCTGCAGTCAAACATCAAACCCTCCCAACACCTGCACCAGCTGCTACGGGATACTACTCCCCCAGCCCTTCGAAAAGGGAGCGCGGTTAGCACAAACGAGCCTCCTCCAGCTCCGCAGTCAGCTCTGAATCGCCACCAACAGCCGACTCGGTTCATCCTTCCCCAGCGACAACGTTCTGAGCCTTCGGCTTTGCATCCCCCTCCTTGATCTCACGGGCGACGCCGTCCCTCCTCGCGGTTATTGCCGTCACGCGTGAAGAGACCAGTCCCGCCGGGGACGCGCGTCCCGCGCAAAAACTCGCTTTCCCACGGCGTCTCGCAGCGCGTCGCTAGCAGAAAGCAGAACTCGCAGCGTGCCCCCACCTGCTCCTCGCTCCGCCGGCCATTGCTTCAACTTTCTTTCGGGGGGGGGGGGGGGGGGGGGGGGGGGGGGGGGGGGGCGGTGGTGCCTGTGGACTCGGCTTCCCCGGGGCTGCAGGCTTCGCCCCTGCCCGGCCCCCCACCCCCCCACCGGGGTCGCCCCGCCCGCCCACTCCCCCCCCCCCCCCCCGCCGCCGCCTCCCCTCTCCCCCCCTACGGGCGGCGCCGCCGCTTACGCCCCGCCGGTTTTGTTCCCCCGCGCCGGCACCAACCGCCGCCCGCCCGCGCGACAAACCCAACCCCCCACCCCCCGCCAACAACAACAACAAAAAAATAAAATTAAATAAAATAAATAACGCGGCTACCCGCTCCCCCCCGGCGCGCCGCCGCCGCGGCGGGGGCTGGACAAGGGGAAGGCCCAGGCCCGGTGCCCAGGGGGAGGGGAGCGGGCCGGGCGGCGGCGGCCGCGCAGTGCGTGCGCCGGCGGCGGGAGCGGGGCCGGGGGAGGCGAGAAGGCTTTGCCCCCCCCACCCCCCCCCCCCCCCAAAATCCTGCCCCGCCGCCGCACTCACCCTCGGGGCAGCTCCGGGGCGCGGCCCCGCCAGCGGCGGTGACGGCAGCAGGCCCGGCCGGCAGCGCTCGCGGGCTCGGGCCGCGCGAGGGGCGGGGAGGAGAAGGGGGGAGGGGAGAAAGGGGGGGGGAGGGGGGGGGTTCGTGTGTGTGTTGGGGGGGGGGTGAAGGGGGGAGCGGGGGGGGGGGGGGGGGGGGGGTCCGGGAGGAGGCGCGCGGCCGAATAGCGGCCGCTTTATCGCGCCCCCGGGCCCGCCCACCGCCCAACCGGAAGCGCCGTCGCTGAGCTCAGCCCCGCCCCGCCCCCGCCGGTGCTGAGAGGGGCGGGAGGGCAGCGCGCGGGCCTAGTCACGTGCCGCGGCTGTGGCGGAGAAACCGGGGGGGGGGGACGTTACGCGGCGTCTCCCGCGCCTCCCGCCCAGCCGGCAGGGGGCGCTGCTGGACCGGGGGGGGGGTGTGCTCCGCGCGGCGGGCGGGGGCCGCTCTCAGCCGCCGCCGCCGCGGCTTCGCATCCCCCGGCGGCTCCGTCGCGGCCTGTCCGCACCGTTAACGGCCACCCCCCCCCCTCCGCCGCCGTTCCCGGGGGAGGTCGAGTGGTAGCTCGGCCCGGCCTCCCGGGTCTCCTCCCGGCGCCGGGTGAGCGGGGCGCGCCGCTGGCGGGCGGCTGGCGTGAGGCGGCGGAGCTGGGGAGGGGGCGGCGGGGCCTGGGGAAGGCGGTGCCGCGGGGGTGAGCGGCCAGGCCGCCCCGGGCGCCCCGCGGGGAAGCTTTGGGCCTTGGTTCCAGCCGGACGTGGAGCGGGAAGCCAGGTCGTGAGGGGGAAACAGCACCAGAAACTTGGGTTTCGTCGGGTGCCGCTTCCGCGGCCGTTCACCTGGCCCGCGGCAAGGGCCAGCTGTAGCCCGAGGGACCTTCCCTGGGTGCTGACCTGGGCTTTTCGTCTACCTTGGAGAAAAGGAGGCTGAGGGGCGACCTCGTTGCTCTTTACAGCTCCCTGAAGAGGGGAAGTGAGGAAGGGGGTGCGGGTCTCTTTTCCCTGGAACCCAGTGATAAGGCTCATGGAAATGATTCAAAGCCACGCCAGGGGAGGTTTGGACTTATCGTTAGGAAGTATTTTGTTACTGAGGGGGGGGGGGGGGGGGGGGGTCAGGCCCTGGAACAGGCTTCCGAGAGAGGTGGTTAGTGCCCCAAGTCTGCCAGTGTTTAAGAGGCATTTAGACAATGTCCTTAACAATATGCTTTGACTTGGTCAGCCCTGAATTGGTCAGACTGTTGGACTAAATGATCGTTGTAGGCCCCTTCCAACTGAACCAACTGAAAATTCTATTTATTTTACTCTATTCTACTCTATTCTTTCTTCTTCCTACCTTCTCCCTAACAGTACATGCTGAGGAAATCTCTGATGGCACGTGGACGGGTGGGGAATAAACAAGAGGAGCTAGAGGCATGTGCAGGCCTGCAGGGCTATCCTGCTAGTGTGATGGAGATGTGGTCGGATGGCTGCTATGGCTGGAGTGTTGGAATGGAAGGGTACAGGCTCTTTAGGAAGGTCAGGCAGGGGAGATGGGGAGGGGTGGTCTCCCTCTATGTCAATGACCAGCTGGAGTGCAGGGAGCTCCGCCTGGGGATGGATGAGGAGCCGAACGAGAACTGATGGGTCAGGATTAAAGGGAGGGCAGGGACAGGTGATGTTATAGTGGGGGTCTGCTACGAGGCCACCCGACCAGGAAGACCAAGCGGATGAGGCACTGTAGACTGATAGTAGCAGCCTCTTCAGGGATCTGCTTGGCAGAGTAGAGTGGGATAAAGCCCTGGAGGGAAGAAGGGCCCAAGAAAGCTGGTTAATATTCAAGGATCACCTCCTCCAAGCAATGCATCCTAACAAAAATGAAGTTAGGTAAGAATGCCAGAAGGCCTGCATAGATGCTTTTGGATGCAGGGAGCTCTTGGGTGAGCTTAAACACAAAAAGGAAGCCTACAGGGTGTGGAAGCAAGGACAGATAACCTGGGAAGAATACAAAGAAATTGTCGAAGCAGCCAGGAGTCAGGTTAGGAAAGCCAAAGTCCTGATAGAATTAAATCTGTCCAGGGACATCAAAGGAAGCAAGAAAAACTTCCACAGGTACGTTGGTGATAACAGGAAGATGAGGGAAAACGTGGGCCCTTTCTGGAAGGAAACGGGACACCTGGTTACCTGGGATATGGAGAAGGCTGAGGTACTCAGTAACTTTTTTGCCTCAGTCTTCACCAGCAAGTTCTCCAGCCACACCGCTCAACTCTCAGAAGGCAAAGGCAGGGACTGTGGTAATGAAGAACTGCCCGCTGTAGGAGGTCAGGTTTGAGACCACCTAAGAAACCTGGAGGTGCATAAGTCTGTGGGACCTAATCAGATGCATCTGTGGGTCCTGAGGGAACTGGCAGATGAAGTGGCTGAGCCACTCTCCATCATATTTGAGAAGTCGTGGCAGTCCAGTGAAGTTAGCAGTGACTGAAAAAGGGGAAACGTAACCCCCAGTTTTAAAAAGGGAAGAAAGGTGATTATTCTTCCCTGTCCTATCTTGATTCCTGAGCCTTTGCTTATTTCATCAGCACTGGGGAGGAGGGGGGAAGGTTGTTGCTGGTAATGCTGATATGGGGAAGGAGGTGGCTGGCCAGATGGCCATCCACGCTAAAAGACAACTGCCTCTCTTTAGGAGTCCCTATGCGCCTGTAAGATAGCTGCAAAGGAGGACTGAAGATTATGCTTTTTATACACCCACCTGAAACCATCTGAGAATGTTGGATATAATGAAATTACTGATGACATTATTCAGGTACAAAGAAACTTCAAAGGAGTGGGGTTTTTTTTGTTTTTTTTTTTTTTCCTTCCTTGATAAAAGACACCATAAAAAACAATCTTCTAGCACACACTTGGTAATTAGTTTGCAAAACTGGTGCAGTGAGTGCAGAGAGCTGCCAGACTATGTCTATTCAGTTAAAGAATCTCAACATTTTGATGCAAGCTCAGTGTCACAAGACAGGCCTATGCATGTGTCCAAATGTGGATCTGAGAGATCAGCAGGCAGAGCGAGGCTAGAGATAAATTCCCTTGCCAAGAGTGCCCCCTGTCCTGAGGGCTTTGAGGAAAAAGAGTCTAAGTAGCAAGGATTTCAAACAACGTGGAGTTTATGAGCTGAAATGTATGTTTTGAGTTCCACTTCAAACTGGTATCTAGTGCATTTTAAGATCATGCTTTCTTCTCTGCAAAGGGCCGTGCAAGGCGAATTAATGCTTTTCATGGCACATCCTGAAGCAATTAGCTATAGCAGTACTAATTGCGTTCCCGTACCGTGGGGGAACACAGCATGGGAATGCAATCCAGTAAATTCTGCAATTCGGATGTCTCCAGGTGCTTCTGGTTAGATGAATGCATCCAACAGAGATCTCTCTTGACTCTGAGGGGAACTTAAATACCTTGCTCCAGATAGATGCCTTCATGAAGGTGTTGAAATAAAGTGCTACTGATTTGGAGCCAAGTCCTTTCCCTTCTGTAGGCTGAAGGTGTAACGTCAGGTTAAACTAACTTACAGTTTACAGCAGAAAAAGGCTGTTTTTTGAAATTAATTTAGATTACATGACCTTCTTTTAAAATCACTATGGCTTTATGGTCATTCTCTGGTCCAGCATCTTCCAAGAGATCTCGTCCTGGATCACATTAAATTATAAACCTCTTCCTAAATTACAAATAGTTGTTTCTCACCAGTCTCTTTTAGCAACACTTGAAAAAATCATGTTTAATCCAGGAAAGTAGTCACGGATCCTTTGTCGATGCCATATGCTTTTCAGGCCATCGGGTAAATGTTATTTAACACCAGTGCTAGACCATGGTGGTCTACACTGGATGGGTTCACGGGTCTTGTTCAGTCGTTCTGTTTCCTGCTGCAGGCAGAACATCTTGTACGATGCCAGGAAAGGTCCTTCTGTCTCCAACTTTTTCATTTGTTGTGAGGTGGACACATCTCACAAAAAAAGCAGAGCTGGACTAGGCTTGATGTGTGACCATCTTGAAACTTGGCCAAGACTGTTTTCTCTACATTATTTGTGTGGCTGTGTTTAGTTCTGCCTGTTCCAAGACCTCCACATTATTTATTTTGGTTGACATCTTAATACAGATATTTAGTTCAGGCAGCCACAAATAAAACTCCTGTTATATTGTCTCACCACTTTCCTGTGATTCCCAGCAGGAATTTGTTTAGTTCGGTCTGTTATAGATTCAATTTGTCACTGATGCTGTTATTGTTAGACTTACATATTCTTAAAAATAGCACCTTCCCAGCCTGTTCACATTACAATACCATAGCTGCAGATACCAGGTAAGGTCAGAGATACTATTGTGAAAGTTAAACTTATATCCAGTGGTTC